GAAATACATTTTATTTCTATGGCTGCCCATTTTAGATACATAATTCTGGATAACTAACAGTTCACAACAACAAAAAACAAGCAAAAATCCCTGTAATAAAACAATAATATAGTTAAAAACAGCCAAAATATGATCTGAAAAGAGACCAGGGTAAACAAAGACTCTTCCCCTGTGGAGAAAACAGTTCCTGAAACCCTAATCCATGTACTTTTATACTGCTGCCTTCACAAAGATTTCTAGTTGCAGCTAATACTGCCCTATCTAGATCAGGGCTTTTCAACCTTTTCACCCATTGTACCACTTTTAGGATATGGCAACATCCGAATACCACCAGACGCCTAGCAAGGTGTCAAAAACTTGATGACCCCCCACCAAAAAGTGATAAAGTACAGGTAGTCTTCGACTTACAACAGTTCGCTTAGTGACTGTTCTAAGTTACAATGGCAATGAAAAAGGTGTCCCCCCAAGCCACAGCCGAGCAAGACACCTACCTGCTCTCCCGGCCGCACTCTCCCTCCTGCTCAAGGTTTTTATTGTTGTGAGCATTTCTGTGGAGGATTGGCAGCGGGGGTGGGGTGGGGGGATGTTTGGTTTTTATTCCCCCCATCTGTTGGGTGGTTGCAGCAGATTTTGGTCACTTCATATGACCCTGGGACACTGTGACCGTCATAAATATGAATCAGTTGCCAAGCATCTGAATGTAAATCACAAGACCCTGGAGATGCTGCAACATTCCAGCTGATCAACGCTTCTTCTGGGCTCAGCAGAAGCATCAGGATCAGTGCCGAGCTCCAGCTGGAGCCTGGCGCTGATCCTGGTGCTTCCACTGAGCCCTGACAGCCCCGAAGAAGCGCCGATCAGCTGGAAAGCGGCACTGATCCTGGCGCTTCCACTGAGCCCTGACAGCCCTGCACCTCCAGCCATCTCTCGCTCAGGCTTGTGCGGTGCTGCCACCGGTTCAGCTCATTCCCCTCCCCCGCTACCACTTTTCTAGGATGGTCGCGTACCACCTGCCAGGTGCCAATGTACCACAGGTGGTACCCGTACCACTGGTTGAAAAGCCCTGATCTAGATTTCCAGGATGCCTAGATGCAATTTATTTGTAGTTACTATCAAATCAATATGATTTTATTTTTTTCTCTTAACATGGTTAAGTTTTGTACTAAATAAATACCACACCAATTTTATAATTATTGGGCACTTTTGTGATTATTTCTTGCTGCCTTACACTTAATGTTTTCATTTTGTTTCTAAGCTGATCTATGATAGTAATAAGAGCCATATTGGTGTAATAGTTAAGGCATCAGGCTAAAAACCAGGACACCATGAGTTTTAGTCCTGCCTTAGGCACAAAGCCAGATGGGTGTCCTTCGGACAATCACTTTTTCTCAGCCAGAGGAGTAAGGAAATGGTAAACCTCTTCTGAAAAACCTTGCCAACAAAATTGCAGGGACTTGATCAGGCAGTCTCAGAGAATCAGACACAACTGAACAGAGGAAAATGAATGAGGAAAATGAATGTAATAAATATATCTCTTTTTATGTAGTTAAATTAGTCCAATACAAAAAGAAACCAAGCTATCATATAACAAATGCACATTACAAACAGATGTTAACTGTGGACTCCTCTAACATCTGGGACCTAACGCCTGAATAAAAAGTCAGATCTCATTGAAGCTTTACTGAGTCTTAGAAAAAAACCCACAAAAATAGATAAAAGATATCTTAATATTATTCTTTTTGAGAATGTGAAAATGTGGATGTGAATCTCAACTATCAATCTTAATTTTTTCCCCCCCCTCAAGTCAGAAACTAAGATATTTGTGATTAGGAGATGGGTTTTTTTTAATTTTCCTAATTATCTACTGTAGCCAATGTTGGCTGAAAATACAATGAAATTTATGATTCTAACATAGCACAAAGGTTGCACATGATTCAAAAGAAACAGGCAAAACTGAAATAGAAAAGAATAACATTGTATATGAAATATGTAAACACTATATGAAAATCCATGACTGGAGAATGAAAGAAATTCTGAAAATATTTTTATAAAATACAGAAAGACAAATAAATAAGTGGTACTGTATTATTACAGACCATTAGATCATTGGAAGTTAGATGGGGCGTTGTCTTACCTGAACGCCTTTTCTCAGCACGGAGATGGAGACTCCACCATTGGGTAGTAGACTGTATTCCTGCCCAATCAGATCAAGTCAGCCAAAGTTGCCACGCCCGTCCTGGACCGTTGGTCTCCAGTCTTTGACGCGAGCGTAGCCATTGACTGACAGCAAGACGTTGTGGCTCACCAAACTANGGGCAACATTAAAATTAAATTAACAAACAAGTAAATAACATTACAGGCTTCCTAACTCTGTAACCATTACAAAACCACACCCACTGCCTCTTATTTCAGATCCAAAAGACTGTCTTCATTAACCTAATTGGACTTATGAGGCATTTACAATTTGGTCAAAATTAATGTGGATTCTGAATGTAATAGTCTCTGATACTAAATGCAGCAAATTTGAATACATAATATGAATTGGTTCATTGTCCAGCTGTCTTCTTCAGGTTCATGAAGTTAATTTGCATAACTAAGTGGTAGTGCACCTGAATAACATCCTGATTCCCTTTCAGAAGACCATCCTTGCATGAGACTCATGTTAGAAATGTCTCGGAGCAATTCTATGAACACAACTTTTTGGCTGAGTTGAAAAATACGTATTTAATTTTCCCCAGTAGGAGTATTTGGATTACTTGCCTTGTTCATTTTACTCCAGACATCTTCTTCCAACTGAATGGAACTGTTATATTTTTAATAAAAAACTGCTGGCTGCAAAACTAGCTTTTAGGAAGGGAGACATTTTTTGGAGGATGCGAACCATCCAGTATGGGTACACGCACATTGCAAATATTTGAAGCACATTTACAAATTCACAAAGTTAAGACCTTCAATGCACATCAGATGATATGGGAATATTTTTTTCTTCAACTTTTAAAACACCTATATACTTGATTCATAGAACAGCCAGGTGCATCATTATCATTATATTTTTATATATGCCTCCTATTTCCCTACAACAATAATCCTGTGAGGTAGGTTGGGATGAGAGAGAGATTGGTCCAAAGTCACTCAGCCAGATTTCATGCCTAAGGGAGACCTAGGCCAGTGGTGACGAACCTATGGCACGCATGCTAGAGGCGGCACTCGGAGCCCTCTCTGTGGTCACACGTGCTGTTGCCCCAGCCTCGCCTCCCCCCGCGACCCCCTCCTCACCAACAGCCCCCCTGGAGGAGAGTTGCCCCCGAGCGTGGCCCATGCGGAGCAGAGCAACCAAGGACATGGCAGCCAGGCAGCATGGACAAGACTCTGCCTTACGCCCCATCACGCAGTTGATGCTGCAGAGTGCAGGCAGAAGGGGTTGCTGCTATTGGTGCTGCTGGGCTGCCTGGGCGAACTGCAGCAGGCCCTGGAGGCAATGAGTGGTCCTGCGGGCAGGCAGGGCGGGGGACGGGGTGGGGGTGGAGCGGGGCCAGTTTTTGGGCACCCGGTCTCTAAAAGGTTCACCATCACTGACCTAGGCTATTAGTCTGTAGGCCAGCACCATGACTTTGAAGCCGTGCTCCCCCTCCCCACTTTCCAGCCAGAAAGCTAGAGAATGCAATCTTTCTGAAGAGCACAAAAACCTTTGCAGCCTTTCTAACTGTCCGAAACACCACATTTGCTAGTTTTCCAGCCAGAAAGATAGAGGGTCCAGCCGAACAGTACATAGAGGGTCTTTCTAGCCATCAGAACAATCATGAGAAGCGCACCAAGTCTCGCAATGTTTCTAAAGGCAAGAAAAGAGAGCCTTTCTATTGTTCACAAACATTGTGTTTATAAGCTTTCTGGCTGGAAATCTAGTGAACACCATGTTTATGAATGGTAGGAACACTGGAAAGAAATTCGGATCTTCAGGATGCAAGCTTCCTTTCTCCAGCCCAGTGATGGGAGTTCTCAATCCTATGCACAGGGAAGAAGGGAAATCTTTTTCTACAGGCAGCAGCAGCAGCTTCCAACTTTCCTTGCTGGCTTCCTGGTTGACTTTCTGGAGAAGCGGACAAAGAAGATTGCAAATAGCAATCACATAATTGCAGGAAGCTTGGCAACCAGCCCTAAGTGTGAACAGGTTGCCAGGTGCCCAAAATATGATCACATGAACTTGGGGGGTGGGGGGTGGCAGCTGTAACTTCAAAGATGGCTCATGAGTAATTTTTCCTGAGTCTCTCGTCACTTCAAATGGTTGTTAAGCAAGTGGTTGTAAGTCAAAGACTACTTATAGCAGGGGTCCCCAACCCTCGGTCCGTAGTTCAGTACCGGGCCACGGCATGCCAGCCAACAGTCCGCACAAACAAGCAAAGCCCCATCCGCAGGATGCAGGCAGCACACAAAATTATGCACCCTTTGGTCTGCAGAAAAACCTCTCTCCCCGGAACCGGTCCCTGGTGCCCAAAAGGTTGGGGACCTCTGACCTATAGCATTCACCTACTGCAACCAGAATGACCTGTCTTGCCAATTGGTCATGGTGCTTTCTCTTAGTTATATCTGATCCATTTTTAAAATTCCTGGAGCCTGTAGATACATGTGTCGATAGGTGCCTTCCTAAATTGATTATTTTCAACAGGGGAACGCTATAACTGCCATCTAGCTGGCTATGCACGAAGGCTAAAAAGTTATGGCAACATTATCACAACATTGAATGGTACCCTTTGTGCAGATATTACCAGTATGCAGCATAGTGACTGGTAAATAGTAACTGAATTTTAAGGATGAAATGTAAATACCATCAATATTAAAGTTACTTTTTCTATGGTAATTGTGATACAGTGATTACATAAAAAGATATATTGCATTATTATATTACATTACATACGTTAAAAAAATCTAAATCCACAGTGGAAGTTAATGATAAACAGACTTAACCCATGTTTTTTCTCACCTTGTCGAATCTTAAAACTTACCTCCATAGCCTGTGCCAATCGTTCTTCCAAGGCCATATAAGTAAGGAACTGGGGATCCACATACGAAATTGCTTGAGCAACACCAAGACCATCTCCAAATTCATCCAGCAACCTATAGGAAAATATAGTGTTGTTTTTTTAATCTCTAAGTAGTGTTGTTTTTTTAATCTCTAAGTAGGGATGAAAACATGTTCAGTGATGCTTAAAAGTTTGTTTCTGAATAAATATGACCTTACATGGAAAAAAAATCAAATTTGTGCTTTTTCAAACCATTAAGCATTTAATCAGTGTAAAGGATGACAATCAGGGAGCAAATGGCAACTACTATTAAGCCCAGTTTGGTTCTGATGCTCACCATTGTCATATATTTCTGATATGGCATTAACAAGAAGCTCTTACATCTATCATGGAACAAGGGTTTCATTATGCAATTCTATTTCAAATAAAATATGAGCCAGTATGTTCCTGATCACCATTTACCTAGGTTAAAGTAAAGAGTCTACCAACCTCCATTCAACATCTAGGTCTTCACTCATACTGGAATCATCTTCTAGATTGTTGTTCCCATCCAACATAAAAAAGCCGGGATGTACAAAATGGCTAGCTTGATCGTTTTCTTCATCACTGCTACTTTCAATTTCTTCATGATACTGCAACCAAGGAATCTCTCCATCCTCTAGAGAGGCCTGCTCCCTTTATATAAAAATGAGAAAAGCTATACAAAATATAGCAAATACAAAATTTAAACTACATGTAAGCAAATAGTATAGAAAGTACAGTATTCTTTATTTATGCTGAGCGCTAACAGTCAAATACCTGCAATCTATTTTCAACAGATATCACTTTAAAAATAATAGGCAGCACAGTTCAACAGCACAGCTAAAATGTAATGTTTTATGAACTATATTTATATGGATGTGTATATATTTTTATCTTAAGATACATCACAGCATACAGCACAGCAATAACCCAAAATGTTTATTATGTGTTTTTTTTAAAAAAATAAACAGAATTTTTTTTTCTAGTGGGGAATGAAAAAAGAAATACATTTTATTTCTATGGCTGCCCATTTTAGATACATAATTCTGGATAACTAACAGTTCACAACAACAAAAAACAAGCAAAAATCCCTGTAATAAAAAAATAATATAGTTAAAAACAGCCAAAATATGATCTGAAAAGAGACCAGTGTAAACAAAGACTCTTCCCCTGTGGAGAAAACAGTTCCTGAAACCCTAACCCATGTACTTTTATACTGCTGCCTTCACAAAGATTTCTAGTTGCAGCTAATACTGCCCTATCTAGATCAGGGCTTTTCAACCTTTTCACCCATTGTACCACTTTTAGGATATGGCAACATCTGAATACCACCAGTCGCCTAGCAAGGTGTCAAAAACTTGATGACCCCCCACCAAAAAAGTGATAAAATACAGGTAGTCTTCGACTTACAACAGTTCGCTTAGTGACTGTTCGAAGTTACAATGGCACTGAAAAAGGTGTCCCCCCACAGCCGAACAAGACACCTACCTGCTCTCCCGGCCGCACTCTCCCTCCTGCTCGAGGTTTTTATTGTTGTGAGCATTTCTGTGGAGGATTGGCAGCGGGGGTGGGGTGGGGGGATGTTTGGTTTTTATTCCCCCCATCTGTTGGGTGGTTGCAGCAGATTCTGGTCACTTCACATGACCCTGGAACACTGTGACCATCATAAATATGAATCAGTTGCCAAGCATCTGAATGTAAATCACAAGACCCTGGAGATGCTGCAACATTCCAGCTGATCGACGCTTCTTCTGGGCTCAGCAGAAGCACCAGGATCAGTGCCTAGCTCCAGCTGGAGCCTGGCGCTGATCCTGGCGCTTCCACTGAGCCCTGACAGCCCCGAAGGAGCGCCGATCAGCTGGAAGCGTCACTGATCCTGGCGCTTCCACTGAGCCCTGACAGCCCTGCAGCTCCAGCCATCTCTCGCTCAGGCTTATGCGGTGCTGCCACCGGTTCAGCTCATTCCCCTCCCCCGCTACCTTTCTAAGATGGTCGCGTACCACCTGCCAGGTGCCAATGTACCACAGGTGGTACCCGTACCACTGGTTGAAAAGCCCTGATCTAGATTACCAGGATGCCTAGATGCAATTTATTTGTAGTTACTATCAAATCAATATGATTTTATTTATTTCTCTTAACATGGTTAAGTTTTGTACTAAATAAATACCACACCAATTTTATAATTATTGGGCACTTTTGTGATTATTTCTTGCTGCCTTACACTTAATGTTTTCATTTTGTTTCTAAGCTGATCTATGATAGTAATAGGAGCCAGATTGGTGTAATAGTTAAGGCATCAGGCTAAAAACCAGGACACCATGAGTTTTAGTCCTGCCTTAGGCACAAAGCCAGATGGGTGTCCTTCGGACAATCACTTTTTCTCAACCAGAGGAGTAAGGAAATGGTAAACCTCTTCTGAAAAACCTTGCCAACAAAATTGCAGGAACTTGATCAGGCAGTCTCAGAGAATCAGACACAACTGAACAGAGGAAAATGAATGAGGAAAATGAATGCAATAAATATATCTCTTTTTATGTAGTTAAATTAGTCCAATACAAAAAGAAACCAAACTATCATATAACAAATGCACATTACAAACAGATGTTAACTGTGGACTTCTGTAACATGTGGGACCTAACGCCTGAATAAAAAGTCAGATCTCATTGAAACTTTACTGAGTCTTAGGAAAAAAAATCACAAAAATAGATAAAAGATATCTTAATATTATTCTTTTTGAGAAAATGTGGATGTGGATCTCAACTATCAATCTTAATTTTTTCCCCTCAAGTCAGAAACTAAGATATTTGTGATTAGGAGATGGGTTTTTTTTAATTTTCCTAATTATCTACTGTAGCCAATGTTGGCTGAAAATACAATGAAATTTATGATTCTAACATAGCACAAAGGTTGCACATGATTCAAAAGAAACAGGCAAAACTGAAATAGAAAAGAATAACATTGTATATGAAGTATGTAAACACTATATGAAAATCCATGACTGGAGAATGAAAGAAATTCTGAAAATATTTTTATAAAATACAGAAAGACAAATAAATAAGTGGTACTGTATTATTACAGACCATTAGATCATTGGAAGTTAGATAAATATATTCTGAAAAAGATGACATAATATCCATAGATGCTGTGAATACTGTTAAGAATCGGATGTCTAATTAAATTCTAGAACTGTCTTGCTGATAATTTTTTATTTCAGGAAACAAAAGATTATGTTGCATTAGGTTTTAGCTTGGAGTTATATTGGTTAGGATTACCTGGATAGAAATTCAGAAGAAAAGAATTCAATACAGGTGGAAGATTTTGAGAATTAGTATTGGATAATACATCTGCTTAACTCTGAAAAAATTGGAAACTACTATGGCTGCATAATGAGCTGAAATTTTAAAATAATATATAGGAAAAAGAAGGATGCACTTAACACCAAGCCTTGAGTACGACACAACAACCTGAATCTTTATGTATGGTACCAGAAGGCTCAAACACAGAAAGAGCTGAAGCCTACAAAAAATATTAAAAATGGAGCAAAACAAAAGAAAACAAGGATTAAATAGATCTGCTGCTTGGGAAAGTGAAACATCAATTTGTAAGCAAAAGAAGGCTGAAATTCTCATTTTCTATTTTGCAAGAGAAAACTTTTTACTAGCTCTGTAGTATCTTTAAGTTTCTGAATCCTTTTGAATAACATTTCTGCATAAGCATGATCTAAAATGTGATGTTTTCCACACAATCCTAAAACTAGATAAAGAGAATCTGTTTACGCAAATGACTGAAAAAATTATGTGTCCATTCATTTCTTGAGAAAAATGATCCAAAAGTAAGACTAAAAAGCTTTCATCAACCTGAGGATTTTTTGATAAATCTGCATTTATCAAATTTCAGTATTTTTGTGTCTGAATGTAATATAACATTAGATGAAATTAAGTAATCTGCATTATTATTCTAAATATGACATTGCACAATGGCCAAATATTGTAAGCAAGATAAAAACATTAAAAACAAGATTGGTATTTTTCAACTTTTTTTTAGACTTTAGCATTTTAGTCTTTTGGAGTCAGAGTCTTTACTTCTCTGATAGGAAGTATAACAATCTAACCTAGATAGGCAATGAAATTTCCCCTAAAAAGGTTCATATCATATACATGCTTATTATCTGTGCTACCATAAATTAATCTCCAAATTTGCCCTATTTCCATTTTCATTAAGATTTATACCCTTTAAGAGCAAAGAAAAATTTAAATCATTAAAAGAAGTCATTGACTTTAGTGACACCATGTTACTGTTTGATTAAAGTCTTGTCAGTTACAGGCAGCTGTAAGCAGGCTAATTAAGTTCACAGAACCGAGTTGTTTACTTGCAGTTAGCACTTTTTAAGGGAGTGCTGCATTGCAGAGAAAAGCAGCTCAAGAAGAGATTGCTTGTTTAGGCAATCTCTTTACTCCATGAGGGGAAGACAAAGAAAAAAATGGGTCAGGCACAGAACAACTATACATCTATAACTGACTGTAAGGCAAATATGTGGTGAAAAGAGAGATGTTGCAAAGGTAATAAATGTGGGCATTGATTGCGCAGTTACTTTTTCATCTTTATAACTCCAAATATTTGCTGACTGAGGAAGTTGCCGGAATATTGTGATATTCTAGAATGCATGTGAAGCAATTTCCTTTGTTTTACCCAAAACAAGAGTGCAGGTTTCTCCTTTTTTGTTCATTTTCTAAAGTGTTTAAATGCTTTAAAAATACTATGCTGCTTGCTATTTTGGCATTTATGACAGTAATCCAAATGGCAAAAAACCCCTCATAAAATACTACATTACCAAAGAGGAAGAGGCAGACAGTAGTATATATTTTATAGAACTTCTGGTTAATTACTGAGGCACAAAATTATACTATATTGTAAAAATGTATTTTATGGAAGCCTAAATCTTGGTGTGGTTGTGATTCTCTTGTGAATTGTTCCCTCAGTTACATTTGCCATTTTGTAAACCAGTCTCATTTCATGTAGTGATGGGCCTAGTGATACGTTACAGAGCCAAACTATCTTCACATCCATGTCATATTACTAGAAGCATTCCTTATTAAATAGCATTAGATGTAAACAGTTAAAATGTAAAATGTATTGATACCATAAACCAGTTTTAATGACCACATAGCTCTATTTGTAGTGAAATATTTAGTTTGCTGTGCTTATGCTTGTATACTGCTCCTCCTCTTTTTAGATTCCTTTTAGATTTTTTAAATATTTTTTTAGTTTTTTATATGAAATATTTTATTCTGATATATTTTTATGCTTTTTAACTGTATCCCATCCTCCTTATGCTAGTCTTTGCCTGTAATAAAAAATTTGATTTGATTAGTGCATAAAGGGATTTGTCCTTTTATTCCATGGCTGTTAAGCTTAATGAGAAGTCTTTGAAAAGGGACATTATCTAAGGCTTTTTGAAAAATCTAAGCAGACAGTGCCTATTGGTTTATCCTTCCACATCCTTATTAATATCCTCAAAAACCTCTGTTCAATTAATTAGATAATACTTTCCCTTAGCAAACCCATGTTGGGTATTCTTGAACAAGACCCGTGTTTCCAAAGTTTAGTAATTTTATCTTTAATAGCAGTCTCCACTAACTTCCTTAGAACATGTGTTAAGCTGACAGGCCTATAATTTCCTTCATCTCCCTGTGAGGCCTTCTTAAAAATAAAGAGTTACATTAGCTAACCTTCCAGTCCTTCATCTCAGAGCCCAAGTATAAACACAGGTTGCATATTTTACTTAGGTGGTCTACAATTTCAGCTTTAAATTCCTTAATAATCATTGGATGGATGCCATTAAGGCCTAGTTATTTGTTAATGTTCAATTTGTCAATAAGGCCTAGCACCACTTCTGTTATCACCACTATGGCTCAATTCATCTGATTCTTTTCCTGAAAACAGAAACTCAGGTTCAGAAAACTGTCCTGATTTTTTCTCTTGTGAAAGCAAAGAATTTGTTCAGTTTCTCTTTCTAAATAAACTGGGTTTGGGACATATTCCTTTGTTTTATTTGGCCGTGTTGAGTATCACATGTGACTACATTATCCTTTCCTATGTCCATCACCTCCCCTTTAGAAGAGACAACATTTTCAACTCCTTTCCTAAGTAATTATTGTTTCCAATTCGAATGTTGCTCAACTCCTATCAGGTTTTTCCTGCTACTCTGCCATCCTTGTAAGTGTCAGTAGTTTGTTTCCATTTTGGTTCAAGTGGAGCCCATCCCTAAAGTATAGGTCCATCTTTTTCCAAAACACCCTCCAATGCCTAATAAATAGAATAAATAGACTGCAAAAAGCACCCTTTCTTGAATGGTAGTAATTGTTTGTAAGTTGAGGAGTATCTATGCATGCTGGCTGTCTACCTTCATAACTATTCTAGAAGTTATATCTTCTAGAAGTTATCCTACTAGACAATCACTTAAATATGAGCCAGCAGTGTGCTACAGCTGCCCCAAAAACCAACACAGTGCTAGGCTGCATTAACAGAGGGAAAGAATCAAGATCACATGAAGTGTTAATACCACTTTACAATGCCTTGGTAAGGCCACACTTGGAATACTGCATCCAGTTTTGGTCACCACAATGTAAAAAAGATGATGAGACACTAGAAAGAGTACAGAGAAGAGCAACAAAGATGATTAGGTGACAGGAGGCTAAAACATATAAGGTTGCTGGAATTGGATATGTCTAGTTTAATGAAGAGAAGGACTAGGGGTGATATGACAGCAGTGTTCCAATATCTCAGGGGTTGCCACAAAGAAGAGGGAGTCAAGTTATTCTCCAAAGCACCTGAGGGCAAGACAAAAAGCAACGGAAGGAAACTAACCAAAGAGAGAAGCAACCTGGAACTAAGGAGCAATTTCCTGACAGTTAGAACAATTAATCAATGGAACAACCTGCCTCCAGAAGCTGTGAATGCTCCAACACTGGAAGTTTTTAATAAGAGACTGGACAACCATTTGTCTGAAATGGTATAGGTTTTCATGCCTGTGTAGGGGGTTGGACTAGATGACCTCCAAGGTCCCTTCCAACTCTAAAATTATTATTATTATTATTATTATTATTATTATTATTATTATTATTATTATTATTATTATTATTATTATTATTATATATGCTTAGCCTGTTTAAATATATTTTGAAAATTCTATTTCTTCTATTTCTTTTTAAGTTTTTGTTATATTATTGGGGGTTTTTTTAGAGTATTTTAAATTTACATTTTAGCCCCTCTTCCCTCTCAAGGGTTCTCTGATTTTATCACAGTTGCTAGGGACAGGAAGACCAGCAGTTTTCTCAAGTCAGAAAAGCATTCCAAAACTGTATCAAACACAGGTATCTCTCCCCCCCCAAAAAAAACCCCTCACATGTAATTCTTTAATCCATACACCTCTCCTTTTAATGACTATTTTCCACCCACCTTTCCTCTGTTTCTCCTTTTCTCTCAGCAACACTTATATGTACATGTTTAGTATAATACATGAATATATGTTTATGTACATTTTCTATGTTGTGTATAGACTACATACAGTGCATACAGTATAGCATAGATTTTTGTGGGGGGGGGAAGCACTTCATTAATAGAATGACATACCGTGATTGGAAACCAAATTCATTATGTTCCTCTTCAACACCACTGCTATCACTCTGCTCTTCAGGTTCCTGTTCCTCTTTGCCTGGAAGTGTCTCCCAGCTCTCATCACTGGAGGACTGATCTTTCACAGTCACAGAAAAATAAGAAGGCAGGGATGCAGACCATTCACCATCACTGCATTCTGAGCTGCAATTTGAGAGAGTCCAATTGATAGAGTTAATATTTGCCATGATTCAATCAAGCTAACCATAAAATGGGAAAGAGCTAAGAACATGTTTAGTTTCCCCTTTGGATATGAACATGCTCCAAGTTTGGATGACTCTGTCCATAAGAGTAGGAGATAATTTCCTACTAAAATCATACTACAAAAAAGAAATCCCTTACAAATTTTCCCAGGAGAGTCCAAACAGAAAAAGCTACTGCTTCTTTCATCCTGAAATCCTAATCTTACATCCTATTAAAGAAATAGAATAAAATATTTGTAATCTGATGGGAATGTTCTAAGAAAGGAACACCAAGAAAATTAGGATCTATTTTATTAAAAATCCCCTCTCGGATACTAGACTTTAGATTCCTCTGCAGCATCAGATTAGAACTAACATAATACAAAGAAAAATAATACTTTACTTTAAGCTCATTTCTGATATGAAAATGTATATTTAATAATATAGGACTGGCAATAAACATCTTTTAAACTTCTAATAAACATGTTGAGAACATGATGAAACAATGTTATGGACATTCATATATTGCTCTCTTTTTCTTTTTACACACACCTAAATTTTAAACAAAAATTGTAAATAAATAAATAATGAATGAATGGGCAGTTGGTAGCTTTCTAGAATCAAAGTTGCTAAACATAATTTGCTCCTACAAATATCAAGATTATCAGCCATATCACAAGGCGCTAGATACGGAACAGAAATTCCTGAAGGAATGGATGGAAACTAATCAAGGAGAGAAGCAACCTAGAACTAAGGAGAAATTTCCTGACAGTTAGAACAATTAATCAGTGGAACAACCTGCCTCCAGAAGTTGTGAATGCTCCAACACTGGAAGTTTTTAAGAAGAGATTGGACAACCTTTTGTCTGAAATAGTATAGGGTTTCGTGCCTGAGCAGGGGGTTGGACTAGAAAACCTCAAGGGTCCCTTCCAACTCTATTATTGTTATTGAGTATTTTAAAGCTTTTAATTTTATATATAAATTATGGTCTTTGTACTATTTTACATTTATACCTTGTTCTCAACATTGCACAATCTCAGTTCTGAACTATTTGCTAACAGGACACTACTGTAAAATTCCAGCACTTTCTAACTACATTTAAAATCCAACACCTTTTCCTAATGATATTGGACAGCAATGTCTGTAAGCACTAAGGGAATGATTAACAGCAGACTTGAAATGCTGCCAGTTTTAAGATGCATTATGAATACTTCCATTATTTTCTATTTTTCTTAATTGTTAAATAACTTATATCACAAAGTAGATTCAACATACAAAATAAAAGAGATATAAATCTAATGTGATAATAATATGAATAGAAAAATAGCATTGATCTTCATGAAAGGTTTGTGTTTAAAAAAACTTGAAAATTTCATTTTCATTCAAATCTAGGCAATATTTTTTTTACTATAAAATACTTTTTACTCTAAAATTATGAAACCAAAGCCTTCCCATTTAAATACTACAATAGTAGACACAATTTCAGAATATTTTTGTTTGTGTTCCAAATCCACTATCCCCTTACTTTAGGTATATACAAAAAATCTAAATCAGTTTGAGACTTCCAAAAATCCGCAGCCTCCATCTTAGGCTTCCAAAATTTTCTTTGTTTTCTTTATTTGAAGGTATGTTTCATCTTCAAGAGACTCCAACTGTAGACATTGGGGTATTCCTAACCCACCCGGGAAAAAGGTTGGAGTAATGTAATCTTAGGTTAATATATATTTTTTGGGAAGCCAGGTTCAAGGTACAAACAAACTGAGCATTTCTCAGTTCTTCAACAGATTTAAAGGAGGAGGAACATTTCTGACAGATCATATTTAACAGAGATATAGTGAAAAATAATGAAATGCATTCAAATATTCAGGAAAAATATTGTTAAGCTCTTAAATATTCCATTCACCCCAAAAAAATCCTCCCAATTTATTAGGAAATATTGTAATCCTTTAATAGTGATTATGTAAGATGCACCTTCCCTACAACTTAAGTTTCAGAAGGGTTTTGGCAGATGGAACATTTTAGTTTGAACCTATTAGTGCCACCGTAACCATATGTGAACAGGTTGTACAGTTTTGTGTAATCTTCAGCTTAATCAAACCTAAGAAATGCATTAACACTGCATTTGCGCAGTTCAAAACAAATAGAACACAATGGAAAGTCTTGAAGCGTATAACTAATTAAATGAAGGGGTGGTAATTATTTACCTTGTACTTGTTCTGGAGGGTTTCCCAACCCTTTGGACCAACTTTTGAAGGTCTGAGAATTAAGAGGAAAACTCTCTTTGATCGTATGAAATCGGATATTACCTATGCATTTAATCATGTCTTATACTTTTCAGTTCTTCGTTGTTCTGTATTTTTTAACTAATGACAGACACAGTACTGCACAATGGGCAACTTTCTATCAGATGCCAATAATATCTTATAAAAATTTTAATACTCTTAGGATGTTTAGACAGTACCACTAAAGAAAAAATTAAGTACATTTATGCTATTTCATTGTTAATATTTGATTCAGAGATCATTGAGAATTTTTATGTAACAGTCGTCTTCTTTCTTGTTCCCTAAAAAATCACTTCAAAAGACTAATGGATTGGCTATAATCTTAAACACTAGTCACACTGGCTTGGACAGGGACATAAGATTGTAGGGAATTTGGTGGGATTCTTCTGAGCACATTTGAGTGTTTTTCTATTCTGGTAAGATGATTTGGGATCCAAGCAATGTTGTTATAGAAGTCACCAAAGTATTCTTCTTGGTAGAATAAATTTACTTCCAAAAGCAAAAGTACGGCAAACCACATTTTTGTATAGCTTCTCAAAACATTTGCTTGTTTATTGATAGAGAAAATTAAATGAATACATTTAGCCGAAACTAAATGGATTGTGTTATTTAAATGTACACTGCCTGATCCACCCACCTGTTAAGTACAACACACAACTGGAAGAAATACTAAGTAGCACTGTGATATCTGAAAAGGAATTTTAACACTGCAATATTGAGGATTCAGGGGGGGGGGGGTTGGTCAGTTTTACCATGCATATTAACCAAAAATATTCAAATATCTGGAAAATGTAAAATTAAACTTCTTTAAAAACTTACCTGTCATCTTCATCTTTGTTAGAACTAGATAGTTTTCTACCGCAATCTTCAAATTCATCCCAAAAAGCACTATCATCTATTTTATTTTTTTCTTGAAGACTTGTATTTTGTTTCCTCGGTTCATTTTTTATTTTATTTTCAGCCAATCCATACTCTTTGGGGTCAAAAACCATATTAGATTTTTTTTCTTTATTATGCTTTGAGATAATTTCAGCATTGTATTGCTGGTCATCTACATTATCATTCCACATTTTAGTACTTCTCTTTTCTTCCTCTTCATTAATTACAGACTGCTTTTTATCAATCTCACTAACAGGATTCTGTTTTCTAACTTTGGGTCTTACTACCAATTCAGCTGAATTCTCTTGGTCCACCTTCATGCTTGTAGTACTCAGTGGATTACAAATTCCTACATGTGTCCTAATTGTAGGCTCAGCTGTATTACTGTTTTTCTGTTCTAAATCGTAAGTAGAAACAAGGTTACTTTTTGCTAAAGTTTCTTCATTAGATATTTTCAAAAGTGACTTATTTTGATAAACAGTATCTGATTCTATGTTAGAAAGTCTCCTAAAAGGCACTAGTCTAAGATCTTCAAAACTTTTATTTATGGTATTATAACTGAAACTAGGCAGGTGTGACTGCAAATCACTGAAGGAGTCCATATCTTTTTCTAATTTGGAAAGCATATTGTCCAGTTTTTCTTGAAATAGTCCTGTTTCTTCTTTAGCTAATGAGATAGCACTTTGGAAACCGTCTTCCTCTCCATCACTGCTGTCTGGTTCATAAGAGTCAATGTTCACAAAGGCAATTCCATTCTGGCCATGAAGATTGTTACACTCTTCAGAAGTAGACTCCACATTGTCATTAGAATTCTCATTGTTGGCAACATTTTGGCGATCACACAAACTGTAGCATGTTGGAGAAAACATTGAAGTATCTGTGTTGATAGCTTGGCTAGAATCAGCTTCACAAACAGGTTCTTCTGATCCAACACTTGGTAATAATGATGCATCTACCAATGGAGAACATACTTGGACATGTGGACTGGAACCTTTATATAGAATTATAAAAAAAGATACATTGTAAGGATAAGACCAGTTATTGGATTATATAGTAAAAGCGATATGATAAAATCAGTAATTAAAGATGTATCAATATACAGTAAATCATTTAGAAAAAGTGGTTAGGAACACTAGGTATCAAAATAACTAAGGTATTTCTCATTTTCAGAAGAAAATCTATTTGCAATAATTTGCAATTCTACCTCACCTTTCAATACTATACCAATAAAGTTACTAATATGACATTTATTAGCATGATTCCAATAGAAAAATAATTTAAAAAACTTTGGGTTTGTTGTGAATAATCAAACACGTTGGTGGATACAGCTCCACTGTTCCCATTAGATATATAGCAAAAGTTACTAACTAAATCAGGGATCTTCCCTCCATTTTGTTCAGGGATACATAAAAACAGGAATGTTCAGCTTGTTAACTTGCTCAACAAACTATATTAGAATTGTAAAACAAAGATTGACTGTTTTTAACTTCTTAGGAACAGACGCAGTACTAAAGAAATTAAATAGAGTTGCCTTGAGGCAAGATGGGTGGTAAACAAATCAATAAATAAGGATAAAGGTTCTTTTTTTAAAACCAAAAAGAGACATAAAAAGCAGATGCTAGCAACAAAACAGCATGCACTGCCATGCTTGATTATTCATAATAAACCAGCATTTTGACTTGTTTCTATGGCTCAAATCAGACTATGTATTTAAACAACAAAATTATATAATTAATTGTAGCATGCTATATAATACTTCCAAATCATTATACAGTATTAATTTGCTACCTTCATTAAGAATAATCTTGTTCTGAAAATCATATGCAATTGCCACTAGTAAAAAGAAATTATTTTCTTATAGATCAAGAATGGGGTATTTTATTATTAATATTAAACAGAATCACCCCAAATATATAGTATTTCATTTAACATGGCTCAAGTAGTGTCACTACTTTGTGAACAGATGTTTCTTTGACTGATTTTATTTGATTCTAGATTTGCTTCCTCTTTCCCTTCACCAAACTTCCCTTTTAATGTTTCTCATTTAGAAAAAAAAACATTATGATGGAGTTTGAGATATTTAGTTACTGATGATCACTTCGGATTACTATTCTAATGGTACACATATCTTTTATTGTAATTCACACTGTATGTGTTGTGAGTCAATTTTGGTAAAGTAATATTATGTAAACATGTTAAATAAATACCATGGCATCCTATGTAATATTGCCTCTATGGCTGCAATAGTACAATTGAGGGATATTATTTGGTATAATTTGAAGAAAACCTCTAATAGTTCTTGGAATATTTAAAATGCAAGAAGGTTTAGTAAAACCAATCACAGAGATTTGATAGCTAGAACAATATTCAACATAGAAAGAACCAATCATATAATGTTAACTATTTTGAAAGGCAAACTAACATAAACTATTCCAATTAAAGCAAACCTGAAAATAATAATGAATTAGAAATTACAAGTATGGTAGATAATAGCATAACGATACCCCCAAAATATTAAAAGATATATTCAAAGATATGATCTTTGAATGTATAATAAAGAAAATGAGCACTGATGACCTACTTTTATCATCTATTTTTATATAAGTCAGGCTGATTTAAAAATAAATAATGCAAACCTGGGGGCAGACTTGGATTACAACATAATAACTATATCTTATTCAAATTAGGTACAGATATATTATATAGATAAAAAGATCAATATGATATATACAAATTATGTTAAGTTCACAACTTTTGTGCAATGTTTGCCCAAAGTAGAAAGTTTTCTCTGAATCAAATAATAATAATTTGTAATTATGTGACACACACACAATAAATTTTCTTTTAGAACACTGTCTAGTTCTAATCCTTCACATTCTTCTGTGTGTTGGTTTGAGTATCTTTCTTGATTCATCAGAGATGGTCTAAAACTGACATAGGCATGTCTTCTTCCATATCTTCTCCCTGTAATAGTTTGATAGCCTCCTGCTGGTTTTGGCCATGTGGGTTTTCCAGCTTCCTGACCCATCACTGCAAGAGAGGGGGAGAGGGGAAAGGAGGAAAAGATAATTCTAAATATAACAGAACATAAGTTTTAATTAATTTAATTTTAGTTTGAATACTAAAAATATTTGTAGTATAAATATAAATGCTAACAAGAGTTTCAATTGGTATGAAAGCAAAGAATCAATTAGCACAGTCTTTCTCAACCTTGACAATTTTAAAGCATGTGGACTTCAACTCCCAGAATTCCACATCCAGCATTGCTGGCTGTGGAATTCTGGGAGTTGAAGTCCACATGCCTTAAAATTGTCAAGGTTGACAAACACTGAATTAGCACAATATTTTTTTCAATTATTTAGGAACAGTAATACATGAGTCATGTATATCATAATATTGGTGAACTCCCTTGGCACAATATAAAGGATTTCTAATTTTTAATATTTTAACATATACTTTAAGGTATGCTTTTTTAAAATTTAGGGGAGACGGAAAGCAGAGTAAGAACTGCCAAACAAATCACTCTTCACCTTTCAAGTTCTAACTAATTCTCTTAGTATCAAGTAATCTTCCATTATAGAAAGAAGAGAATGATTCAACTAGAGGCTATTGCAATGTATTCTAGCTTTAGCCATATTAGACTTTTATCAAAGCAAAGGGAGAAATGGGGAAGTAGAGAAATCGTGTGCATGCATTTGTGTCTCTTTATAAGTCTGGGGCTATGGGAAATAAAACGAAGAGACCTGAAAGTTGGGGATGTAGCAAGGGAGCAGATATACAAGAATTCCAAACTGAACTAGATAGGTGAATTATTTTATATAAGCAAAACTGGAAACAAATCCATACCAGGCAGATATTAAGCATAAATTTAGTTTATTTATGTAATTTATCTCTGTCTCAATTAGCAATTGGTTTGCATTATTATAGGAAGATTTTCAATATCGTTATAAAACTGAGTTTGGGTAATGCCCATTTTGTTGAAGACTTACAATTTTGTGATACTTTATAGCAGACATGTCAAACTCGCGACATCACATGACATCGTGCGACATATCGGAACTTTTTCCCCATTGTCGGCAATGGGGTAGGCACGGTTTCCTCATGATACGTCTGGCCCACAGGCCGGCAGTTTGACACCCCTGCTATACAGTGACTTAAACATTTTCATAATATATATTAAATAAAATCTTATTGTACAAATCATCTCAGACAAAATATTTAATGAAAGATTCTGCTCATGTTCCTCAAAAGGTCAGTTATCTTTTGGGAGGAAAAACCTCTTAATTTCTCAAAATATTCCATATCTATATTTTGGAATAATGGAAAAGAATCTGATAGAATAAATAAATAAATAAGTTAAAAACTGTTTTGTATTCTGAAGCTCAGCAACTGTCTTTATATTTGGAACCTTATTTGTAGATTTATAAACCATTTTCCTTCAGGATTCCAAGGGTAACCTACCTAGTATTTCCACTGGTTTGTTTTTTTTAGGAATAATCTTGTAAGATATGTTGGGTTGGGAAATAATACTATTCAAGATATCATTGAAACTAGGTATGAATAACTAGGTATGAATCTGGCCTTCCCTAGCCCTAATTTATTACTATAATCATCATGCCAGTTACTTATCTTTTAGCTTCAATATAATGTCTTCTTAAAACTGGTATTTTGAATGTCACCATTCCCACCATAAAAATATTTTTGCATACTGTAGGCATTCTGATGGAAAACATTTGTAATAGCATGTATAAAACCATCTACAAAATCCAACAAGCCCACTAAAGAAAGTAGGGTTGAAAAGATGAAATATGAGTATGTTTGTCTTGAAAAATTAAATTTACAGGTAGATTTCACTTTAAAATATCTGAGTAGCATTATATAAATTATAGTTTAAAACTCAAACTGTATTCCAGTCTTTAGCAGATGCAATAGAACTCTGAGATACAGAGGATGAGCCTCTAATCAAAATAAAGCTTCAGAACTTCTTAAATGATCTATCCTGGTGGTGGCGAACCTATGGCACGGGTGCCAGAGGCGGCACTCAGAGCCCTCTCTGTGGGCACACGAACCGTCGCCCCAGTCCTAGGCCTTCAGCTGGGTTTTATAAAACCTTTTCGCTTTAGGCCTCCGCCGCCGTGTGCAAAAAAAAAAAGGTTCAATCAATCAGTCAATTTCAACTTCTTGCGGGGAAAAAAAAAGATCTTGCAAAGTTGGAATTGATTGATTGAACTTTTTAGTCCCACCCAGTCTGCCGTTACCACCGCAGCCATGCCCAGCCAGTGGGCCACGCCCCCAATTGGCCACACCCAGCCAATGAGCCACACCCACCTGGCACCCGACGATGCATAAGTGGGTTTTGCGTTGCAGTTTGGGCACTCGGACTCTAAAAGGTTCGCCATCACTGATCTATCCTTTTAACTGATCTATCTGACATCAGAACTGGAAGAAGCTAACTCTTCTTCAACACTTCAGTAATGGAGATAAATAGTTCTAAAATTAAAAACTTTTATAAAAATCTTTGTGTGTAATGAAATTACTGGAACACAGGAGGATCAACAGAAATAAATAAATGTATTTATTTCAGTATTTAGTTCCTTCTGCAAGTTATCATTCTTCAGAATTCACATTGTTTATGTGAAGTTATATTTACTCCAAATTGGACTGGCTGTCTATCACATCTGAAGGGAAATTTAGTTCACAATTTTTTAAATTCTTTCACCTTTGTTTATTGTTGAAATGAAAATAAACTCTGTGATATGGAACTTTGAGCAGGATACTGAAGACTTCAGTAGGAGTATCTGAATCTTCTCTGCAGGAATTGAAACTAATTTGTTTCAAAGGAAAATAACAGAGATGCAGCTAGCAAATGTATCCAGCTACATATTAAAATTAAGTCTAAATAAAATCTTACTAGTTGAATGAAAAAATAATAATAAATAAATTGTCTTTGACTACAATTTTAATCTATTATATCTAATTTGCATATTTTGTTAATGCAATAAAATGATTTCATCTATTATTCAATGTATTATATATATTAAATATATATATTTAACCAAATAAAAATTTGCATACATGACTATTTAGTATAGACCTATACTGTCATTATTTATATATTTCTATCAAAAGTAAATCTTACTGATTTCAACTTAGTTAAGTGCTATAAAACATTGCCAACATAAAATCTTGCCAACATCTGCTTAACATGCTTTGATTTCTGTCCTCACAATCCACTTTACATTACAATCAGAGTAGTGAAATATGGTATTACAACTGAAACAAAAATACACTTTGAGTAAGAACATCTAGATCCAATTTGTCCAATAAATGAACAATTTATGCTGTATAAACTGATTTAGATTTAGATAAATTGAACAGTTCAAATGCCCAATGTTTATCAAGACACGTTTCATGCTCATACTTAATTTGCAGTCATTATCTTTTCTACATCTTGATTCATATCACATACCATACCAAATATGGTACTCTATGATTACTTACAAGCCATTGCATCTCTGAATAAGATTGTCCATACCCTGCAGTTGAAGTGGTTTTCTGATCTTTGATTTAACATTAAACAAAAATAGCCAAGGAATAGAGAAAGAGCCCTCTCAAGACAAATGTATGTAAGCTCATCATTTTCAATAGTTTTTGCTGCAACATCTGAACTGACCCTTATATGTAAAAAGTTGTTCTGAGTTCCATGTATATTTCCATCAAAAGCCTGATTATTTCAGAATACCTACAATTCAGCAGAGTCCTGTAAGAAAGTACTTCAGTCTGAGCCATATTTTCCCAGTATCTCTCTTTCTGCCATCTGTCTGTCCATCTGATCTATCATTTTATTTGTCCATGAAACCTGTATGATGCCAACCACATGATTTTAATTAGCACCTTTTAAACAAAGTTTAAAAGTATTTATTATTTTAAAAAAGTATCTAAAAGAAATGGTACATTGCAATTAAGCTGTCCATTGCTTTTTATAAGGTTATTGTCTTCTACGCAAATCTAAAAAAGATATTGACCATATGGGGAGCCAGAATGGTAAGTGTTTCACCAGAATATTTCCAGTGATAACAGAATCATCCATATGAAATTCAATTGTTTGGTTTAAAAAAAACAGTTATTGTTCATACATTAATAATATCCATTCCTAAAGAATGCAATAACTTGGGTGGTAAACTGAATTTTTAACAAAGTAGGCAGTTCTACAAGGTAAATGATAAATTCAATTATATTATTTACATGGACGGTCATGTAAAATTACTTAATAAATAAATAATAGTAAATCAACTTTATTGTGATGACAATGGAGTCAGCTCAATATAAATGGTCAAATGAATACTGCACAGGAATATTAAGTATTAATATTAACCCTAACTAATCATCTGTTTCAGATCACGTGAAATTTGCCATTAGATATTACTTTAAACTATTTAGGTATTCAGATTAGGTAAAATTTGTATTTTTTTAAATTAGTAAAATACACTTTAGTCAAGTAAAAAATGTTGACTGCTATTTCTTGTTTCTTCTTATACTGAGAATTCTAAGAGGACCAAAACACTACTAATTATATAGTTTGTGAAATCTAGACTTCCCAGACCATATAGGGAAACAATCACATATTCCTAGTCAAGCAGACATGGAGTTTTCATACTAAGGCACTCAAATATACTAGCTTTAGAGGTTAGGCTCAGGATTATTTAAAACAGTTGGGAAATAAATACAGCAGCAAACTACATGCTAAGTTAACATACTGTCTTGGATCAGCAGAAAAAGAGAGGGCATTTCTATCTTTTAAAGCAAAGGCCTATCTTGGTGCCATAACACACATCATTAAAGAGAGCTTCAGTTTAGAAAATGTATAGATACTATATTAAAAAAATGTTCTGGTTCAGATTTTCTGTGGGCTCTCCCCCTACTGCAAAGCAGACGGGAGGATTTCCCCCCCCCTCTATGTCCCCATGTCCTTGCCTTCATCTTATCTCCAGTCCATGAGTAAAACGGGATTATAGTAAATCTTCCTTAGATGTATTTTGTTTTCCCTCTTAAGGTGGTACCATCCAAAGACATCTTTGAGATGTGTACAGTCTATAATGTTTTGTTACACATCACCTTAGAGCAGCAATGAATTGAAACAGAGCCAAGAAAGGCAAGCTAGGGAATGGGAATAGCAAAATTCATACCAGTATATCCTTCTGCTGACTCAAAATTGGGGGAAGGGAGGAAATAGTAATATAACTCTAGTAATATAATACATTTAGGGAGGAAAAAATCAAGGATTTAAGTACAGATTAGGCGAGACCTGGCTCAAAAACAGCAACTGTGAGAGGGACCTTTGAGTTCTAGTAGACGATCACTTGACTATGAGCCAGCAGTGTGCAGCAGCAGCCAAAAAAGCTAATACAATCCTGAGTTGTATAACATCCTGGAAACAGTGAGGGAATAGCCCCCACTGCCTTGGCGCCGGCCCTGGCCGCCAGGGAGCCAATGTACAATTTTGGGTTGGCCATCTATGCTGAAACACATTCAGTTTTAGCTCCACAAGGCCGTCTGGAAACAGCAAGGGACCGGCCCCTGCCGCATTGGCCCCGCCCCCTGGGTGCGCGCTGGGGAGGTGTCACCTTTTGTGAGGAATGAAATGCACCATCGCCTGCAAGTAGCCAGCAAATGGCCCTCGTCTACTTCACATATCCGGCTTGATGGGCTCTGGGGGAGGGGCTTCAGCAGGCTCTTCCAGTGGACCATGCCTTGGCGCTTGCCCTGGTCCCACCCCCTTCTGCCAGAGACACTCAGATCTGTCCCACTCCTGCCCAGGCCCCCACAGGCACCCTTGAAGCGAACGATGTAGAGCTGGCCATGCCCACCCAGTAGGCCACACCCACTCCAGCCACACCCACCCAGTAGGCCGTGCCCACCCTGGCCACACCTACCCGGGCCCCCGAGGACAACCGCAATACTGATGCGGCCCTCAATGAAATTGAGTTTGACACCCCTGCTCAAGACCTTAAATACTGGCCTAATCACACTGCAAGCATAGACCATATTTGTTTGCCTTATCTGGGAATTAATAGGAATCTGATGAATATGGTTGATCCAAGTGATTGGATTTGGAATATATAATGGGTACAGCTTCTATTATAAGCAAGACACAGAATCATCATTTAGGAATGTTCCTATCTATATTCATTACTTGAGGCACCTTCTTGTAGCAATATATCTACACTACATTAACATAGTTACATTTTGATAGTAGTAGAATACATTACAATCAGAAATGAGAAAAATGTTCCTAGCCCAACATCTAAGAAACAATTCTTCCCCACTACAGCTAAAAAAAGAAATAAAAAACAACTCTTGTAGCTATAAAGTTCTAAGATCTGTTTCCTATGAGTTTATTTTAATGAAGACAGAAGGGCATGTTTTAATAATTTGCAACGAATATGTTTTGCCTATATTCCCCCCCCCCACCAGGAAACCTGATTGTCTCTCTTAACTCTTACTGAGGAACAAAATGGAAATAACTCACCGTACCATTCCCTTTCAGGATAGACAGTATTATGCAAAGCATTGAAAAGTGGCAAGATGTAATGGACAAAGAAAATTAAAGGCAGAAAATGATAGAAAGTAATATAGATTTGTTATTTCATACCAACATTTTTCTTATACCTCATCATGTTTACCTATCCTTGCGTACATTCTAGTTTCTATCACATTCATGTACTGATTTATACATTGTCTTCTATTCTTAAAATTTCTCATTCTCTTTCTGAAGAATCAACTCCATCCAAACAAGGTTCCATGGCTTTCTGACTTTAATGGAAGTTCTCCTGCTAGGTTCTTAGTACTGTATAGCCAGCTAAAAAAAATGCTGTTGAACTGTAGGTGTTCTTGTATATTCAAAGGATGGGCAGACAACGGATCTTCGATAATAATTGAAATGTATCTGTTTAATATATAGAATGTTGTTGGACACCAGTGCATTTTTCTACAACAAATTTTTTTTAATGCCCTAAAACAGACATGTCAAACACAAGGCCCGGGGGCGAGATGCGGCCCGTGACGTGGTTTCATGTGGCCCGCGAAGCCATCCTGGAAACAGTGAGGGAATAGCCCCCACTGGCTTAGCCCCGGCCCTGGCCGCCCGGGAGCCAATGTACAATTTTGTGGTGGCCATCTATGCTGAAACACATTTAGTTTTAGCTCCACAAGGCCGTCTGGAAACAGCAAGGGACCGGCCCCTGCTGCATTGGCCCCACCCCCTGAATGCGCGCTGGGGAGGTGTCACCCTTTGTGAGGAATGAAGAAATGCACCATCGCCTGGAAGTGGCCAGCAAATGGCCCTCGTCTACTTCACATATCCGGCTTGATGGGCTCCGGGGGAGGGGCTTCGGCAGGCTCTTCCAGTGGACCATGCCTTGGCGCTTGCCCTGGTCCCACTCCCTTCTGCCAGAGACACTCAGATCTGTCCCACTCCTGCCCAGGCCCCCACAGGCACCCTTGAAGCGAACGATGTAGAGCTGGCCATGCCCACCCAGTAGGCCACACCCACTCCAGCCACACCCACCCAGTAGGCCTTGCCCACCCTGGCCACACCTACCCAGCCCCCCAAGGACAACCGCAATACTGATGAGGCCCTCAATGAAATTGAGTTTGACTCCCCTGCCCTAAAAAATTGAATACCTCTTATTATATGATATACCCTTGATAATCAAAATTATAAAAACAAATAATGTGCATGGTATATAAAGTTTCAAATACTGATAAATTGAAGCATTTGACAACAGCATCCCAGGGGTCATAGAATACTTATTTACTGCAATTTCCCATTCTACATAAACTTCAAGAAAAACCACAGCAGTGTTTTTTTTATTAAAGTAATTCTAATGTCAGACCTATTAACACCATATCTGAGCTATTTATCTAGCATGCCAGGTAGTGGTGAATATTACTGGGAGATCTTCCTCTTTGTGGCACTTCCCTGCCTACTCAGGAGCCAATGCAATTCAGTTCCTTCAGTATCTTTAAAGGCTCTTAAACAGTTTTCTCTTGAACTATTTAAAACAAAAACACATCTGAAACATGGAGGACTGAAAACTAAAGAAATAAATGAATACCAAAAGCAACATTATTCCCTCTTACTATATTTGGTATGTCTTTCACCATATTCACAATGTACTGATAGGTTTAGTCTACTAATTTAAAAAAAACCAAAACCTTGGAACATTAGGCCAGCCCATTCTTGTTCAGTATTTATATCATCTTGACATTATTTTGAATTCCCTCCACTAATCAGAATATGGAGGTTTTGAGGGAAGATCTTTCCTTGCCCATTCTATGGAAGCTAAGCCTCTTCTACTCTATCTTACCAGGTCTGCTTTCATTCATTTTGTCTAATTACTGAGGAAGGCAGTCTTTCCCCGTTTTAAACTACAGATGGTCAGCTTAATGACCACTTGATCAGCAATTATTTGAAATTGTGAAGGTATTGCATGAGAGGTATTTATGTCTGCTCCTCAAAGTTCTATTACAATCTTCTTTACTGGTTTTCTACAAGCAAGGTTAATTGTGAAGTTGGCAGGAAGTCGCAAGTGGTGACCTTGTGACATCCTTGCTTAACGACTGCATAGGATTCACTTAAAAAGGTAGCTTTTTTATAAATCCTTTCAATAAATAAATAAAATTTACAATCACCATTTATTTTTCACTTTATTGCCAATTTTCTGTCATTAGCACTTTGCCTTTGCCTTTTTGGGGTTTCAAAAATGTAATTAACAGGTTCTGCAGCCTGAAGGAGTTGAGAAACCATATTTTCCAAAATATATAAATAACTCTTTTTTTCTACTTTTTCTCTGTAAATTTTACAACTTAACAGAAGTTCACTCTCTGAAGCATTTCTTTAAAGGAAATCTCTTAATAATTTGTGAATCTGTTCATACTCTCTTTTAAGATAATATTTTCCTTATATCAGTAAAAAAATTGTACAAAACTCTTATACCTATATTTTACACAACTTAAAACTACTGGAAAATTAATACTGTATTACGGTATACAGTATGTCATTGTTGCCAGCTGAAAAGTGAAATGCTGGAATCCAACCTCTTATAACTATAGCATCAGCCATTTTGAGATAATTATTTCTATTACATTGTTTTACAGCCTCAGCTCATTTACATATGTTTTTCAATATAGATTTCATGCAATATATGAAGTTATTCTTGATACAATTATATAATGTTTATTTAATTGCATATTTTATTATTTGCATATTTTCTGTATATTATAAATGTCAAGCTAGTCATGATTTGGATCAGCTTGTATTTCAACTTTATCTAAGTCTCCAAAAACTGTTTTCCAATAATTACCAAGCAAAATCTGTGCTTACTAAAACTGTGTAAAACGGTATTATGTACTTTTATCCACATGTGAACATATTAGAATTGGGAGGAGCTTACCTTCATTTTAACTGTGGCCAAAGAATAGGTTTAACATTCTAATCATAGATCTTAGAATGTAACAGTAATTGACTTCAATAAAACCTACTCCATATCAACTCATAAATCACGTTTTACTATTAAAACATTCTAAGCTGAATATACTAAAAAGGTAAAAGTAAAGGTTTCCCCTATCTAGTCACGTCCAATTCTGTGCTTACTCTAAAGGGTGGTGGGTCCTCTTCCTTTCTTAGCTGAGAGATCCAGCATTGTCCAAAGACATTTCTGTGATCATGTATCCATATGATCATATGCCAGGTGCATGGAACGCTGTTACCTTTCCACTCAAGTGGTACCTATTTATCTATTTGCATTACATGCTTTCAAACTGCTAGGTAGGCAGCAGCTGGGGCAAGGACAGGAGCTCACCTGTCATGCAGTGCTCAGGTCTCAAACCTGGGCTGACAAATTTCCAGTTGACAAGCTCAGTGTCTTTAACCGCTGAGCCAACATTTCCCCTAAGTGTATTAAATGCTGGGATAAACTATGCCATATTAAAAATCAACATTTGAAAGTGCATCTTCAATTTAGACATTTTAAAAATTAATAAAAACAGTATACTGATTTAGCACAGCACCCACTTTCCATTTAATTTATTAAAAATGTACAACTTTGAGAAGGTATTGCAATTAATCAAAATCAAATGATAAGATAAGATATAAGATAAGATAAGATAACCTTTATTGTCATTTTTTTTTTACTGTGGGCACAAAGGCACACATCAAAAATGAAATTTAGGTGCCTGCTCTCAAAGTGAACACATACATGACACACACCTAACATACTATATACAACAAATGTATAGACCCACACCTCTACATATACATAACAAATATTAAACACTGTCCATCTTGAAAATATAATGGAAGGAGGAAGCTTGAATATGAACAAGTTGTTCCATTTTTATTTTAACCAAATACACCAAATCTTTACCCAAAAATTTAAGTTCAATACTTTTTATTTTCAGCTAAGAAAAAAAGCATATCAATTCCACTTATCTGAGATACTGCCTAGTTGTAAACATCCTCAATTCTAATTCATGGATGACACAGGTCATCACAGCTTGTCACATAGAAGCATTTTTATAAAAAAACGTATTTTTTTCTACATTGGATCATATAGTTTGATGGTAGGGAAAAGGAAACATTTAGCAAGACTTAGAATAAATGTTCTGATATTCTATGAAATACTACTTAATGGCTAGTTTTGACTGGTCAAGAACTAAAATGATATAGAGAAGTATGCACCAGGAAAATAGAAATCATCACATGTACGTTTTGTTCAAATGTGTAAAATTTTATGTTAAGCCAAAATGGATAATAAATACCTATCATATATATAAAGACAGGCGCAATATGTAAAGGTGGAGGTGGGGAAGATGATTCAGAACTGTTTGACTAGCAGGATTTAATGTGCACAGAACAGATGAGATGAGGTCGGTCTTTTCTATTTACACAAAAGTTTTAGCCCCTTTTTGATAAGACAGATCCGGTATTAGAGAAAACATTCGGATGTGAAAAGACCAGTAAAGATACTGTAGACATGTCTGTCCCAATTAAAGAGTCAGATAAAAGAGAAAAACAGATTTATGCCCCTCCAGACTGCTTAAAACAATTTCCCCTTGCCTAGCTAGTTTCTGGTATACCGTAAGCCAGGGGTAGTCAACCTTGGCTCTTTTATGACTCGTGGACTTCAACTCCCAGAATTCCTGAGCCAGCACAGCTGGCTCAGGAATTCTGGGAGTTGAAGTCCACGAGTCATAAAAGAGCCAAGGTTGACTACCCCTGCGAATACTTCAATGCAGAAGAGAGCCATCCGGTTGGTTCTTCGCGGCTCTGACCCAAACGGACCAATTCAGAACACATCTCCCATCTCCCCAACACGGCAGCCTGGAAACAGGCCAAACCTGGCCAAAGCTGTCAAAGCGAACCTCGCCTTACCGCATTCCGCCCCCCACCCCGGCTTCCCACAGACGCGAATAAAAAGCTCTTTTAAGAAGCGAGCTCACGATTCAGCTCTTCAGATCCGCAAGGCGCCCGATCCCCATCTCTCCCCTGCCCCGGAGCAGGATGCTGTATCGCGCAACCCTGTCACCGCGCCCTCCCGATGCCGTCAGCCGCTTCGGCTCAAGCGATCCTGAGGATCTGCCTCTGAATAGCCAAGGGCCCGTGGGGGGGGGCGCATCAGCCCGATTCCCTCTGTTCGGCTACCGCAACCAAGATCGGCTCGAGGCAGGGGGAAAGCCGGCCTTGGAAGGCGCGGCCTGCTTTCTCTCCTCCAGCACAGGCCGCGACGCCAACGCAGGTAGGTGGCGGAAGACCAACCCGCCCCCCCCCCGCCGCCTTCTTTCCACCCTCTACACAGACGAAAGCATCTTCGGCCCATCTCTCGTCCAGCCTTCTGCGGCCTGAAACTGCGGACGCAGCCACTTACCCGCTTCCCAAGCCAAAGGCCGAGAGGGCACCACCGGCGGCAGTCGCAATACACACACGGTCTCGGGACTGACAGCTAGCCGAGCCAATCCCGCCCGCGGCCTTGGCAACGCCGGCCAATCCCGGCTCTCGCCTAGCCGACAGGGGCCAATCGACGAGGAACGTAAGGAAGAGATTGGATGGAACAGGCCGGCTCTCTGTGGGCTGGGGGGGGGGGTGTTTGCGGATGTCTGTCCCCACGCCTTTCCCGGGCCCTCGCCGCTTCCCTCCGCATCCGCGGCTCCGCCTATTCGGAGCGATGCATAGCCGCATCCCGTCCTCGCCTCTTGGCAGGGCACGGAATTCTCTCCTCGTCTCCTCCCCTTCCCGGGACGCCTAGAGAGGATGGGCGGCTTGCTGTCATCTGAGCCCGAATCGCAGACCCGAAAGGGGCCATTTTGACCAGTCCCTGCGAAATGCAGGAATACAGGGTTTTTTTTAAAAGAAAAACCCGCTGTCCTGCAATGAAAAACCCTCCAGCTGCCTAGGTAACTGGCTCCACTGTCAAGTTCCGAGTTCGGAAGTTTTTCTTGGTATCTAATCAGAGTCCGCCTTCTTATAAATCAGTGTTTCTCAACCTTGACAATTTTAAGGCATGTGGACTTCAACTCCCAGAATTCCACAGCCAGCAATGCTGGCTGTGGAATTCTGGGAGTTGAAGTCCACATGCCTTAAAATTGTCAAGGTTGAGAAACACTGTTATAAATAGTGATAATAAAAACACTATTCCGTGTCCAGCTCTCTGGGAGATGAAGAACATATCTTGATCTGTGTGATTCTCTTTCAGGTATTTGGGGAGCGCTGCCTTATTTCCTTTCCGTGTTCTCGATCAGGCCGTCTTGACCGATAGAGTTGGCACTGTCCAGCAGCAATTCTCCCGGGATTCAGGCAGGAGTTGTTCCAGTGCCCTGTGTTAAACCAGCAGAAACAAATCTTTATACAAAAAGCAATAACATATCACTGGAATCCACTGCTACAAATCAGGCATAGATTATTCTTGAATATTAGTGGACCAGAGGAATGCTGTGGATATAATTTACTTGGACTTCAGTAAGGCATTTGATAAAGTAGATCACAACCTACTATTTGATAAGATAGAAAAATGTGGGTTAGACAGCATCACCATCAGATGGATTCGTAGCTGGTGGACCGGCCGTACTCAGCGTGTGGTCCTCAATGGAAACGCATCTACATGGAGGGAAGTGTGTAGCGGGGTACCCAAGGGCTCTGTTCTGGGCCCAGTGCTCTTCAACATCATCAATGATTTGGACGAGGGGGGGGGGTAGATGGGGAACTCATCAAATTTGCAGACCACACCAATCTGGCAGGAATAGCCAGCACTCCAGAAGATAGGCTTAAGATATAGGAGGATCTGGACAGACTTGAACACTGGGCGCTATCTAACAAAATGAAATTCAATGGCGAAAAAAGTAAGGTTCTACATTTAGACAAGAAAAACCAAATGTACAGGTATAGTATAGGTGGTATCTTTTCCTAGTGGACAATCACTTAAATATGAGCCAGCAGTGTGCTGCAGCTGCCAAAAAAGCCAACACAGTGCTAGGCTGCATTAACAGAGGGATAAAATCAAGATCACGTGAAGTGTTAATACCACTTTACAATGCCTTGGTAAGGCCGCACTTGGAATACTGCATCCAGTTTGGTCACCACGATGTAAAAAGATGTTGAGACTCTAGAAAGAGTATAGAGAAGAGCAACAAAGATGATTAGAGGACTGGAGGCTAAAACGTATAAGGAACGGTTGCTGGAATTGGGTATGTCTAGTTTAATGAAGAGAAGGATGAGCGGGGACGTGATAGCAGTATTCCAATATCTCAGGGGCTGCCACAAAGAAGAGGGAGTCAAGCTATTCTCCAAAGCGCCTGAAGGCAGGACAAGAAGCAACAGATGAAACTAACCAAAGAGAGAAGCAACCTAGAACTAAGGAGAAACTTCCTGACTGTTAGAACAATTAACCAGTGGAACAACCTGCCTCCAGAAGCGGTGAATGCTCCAACACTGGAAGTTTTTAAGAGACTGGACAGCCATTTGTCTAAAATGGTATAGGTTTTTCTGCCTGAACAGGGGGTTCGACTAGATGACCTCAAAGGTCCCTTCCAACACCAACACCACCATTATTATTATTATTATTATTATTATTATTATTATTATTATGGCCAGCTTCCACACCTCATGCCCTAAATGTTTAATGTCTTGATAATTTCCATATCCTGGTGTATATTGAGGAACACATAAATGATGTGCAACTATCAGCCTAAACAGTCCTATCAATTTAAGTCCAAAATGTGGCAAAAATAAAACAAGTCCAAGCCACCTATGTTCTAACTCATGACTGTTTTTTCAATAGCAAGGTAATTTCATCCAAGTTTTTAAAGTGTCAACTACACATGAGTATGTTTCCATATAGTGTGTTTGTGCATGGTGATTTTTCTTTAAATATTTCAGTGATCAAATAAGTCTTAATTTCAAAATCAGGCAGCTTTACATGTCAGTGGTGAAGAGACTTAAAAGAAACTTTCCTTCCCTTAACACCTAATTTAGCTTACAGTAAGAGTGCATAGTCAGGAAGAATCACTTTATACAGATTAATTTTCTGCCTGTAACTAGGACATCTGAAATAGACTCTGTGGCTTTGAAAATATGAAATACATAGAAGGTTGAAAGGCATTTTTCTTCTAGTATAAAATAATGGCAATTAGAAAACTGATCAATTCACCACATCATGAGAAAATCAAAACAAGTATCACCCTGATGTTACTAAGGGATATATAAATTGCCTTGTAGTAGGTCAAATTATTTAGCCATTGAGAAAGGTCTCTGGTCAAGATTGTTTAACATTAGTACTTGCAATCTGATGTTTGTTAACTTTTATTAGAGATCCAAAGATTACACTGCAGACCTGCATGCAAAACAATTTTTCTATAACTAAGCTATAAAGCTATAAAACATGATAGTATTGCAACAATACCATAATATTTTCCTGCCGCTGCATTTACTTTGTTTTCTTAACACATAAGGAAACAGTGAATATAATTTTTGTTTAGTACAGATATAGTATGTAGAATTAGAAGAAGACATAAAAAGAAGATAAGAAACATCTCACTTCATTTCTCTGCAGCTGAATGCTATTTATCAAATTTATCAAAATAGCTGAATGCTATTTATCAAATTGAAGCCTTCTTTGACTCAGGTTCACTTCAGGTAACTGTGTATACATGTGTTTTCTTGGCAACAATGTAGGTTTGCCAGGCAACCCTATAGCCCTGGTACTCCCAAGAGTTGTCTCATTCAGCTATTAATCTGATCTGACCCCATTTCAGACACTGTTACATGACTGTCTAATTGGGCAAAAAAATAGCTTATTAACTTATGTTTCAGGAAGACATAAATCAGTGGTTCTCAACCTGTGGGTCGGGACCCCATTTGGGGTCGATCGACCATTTCACGGGGGTCGCCAAGCAAGGCTGTCCACCATTTTTTTTGTCCGCCATTTTTTTTGTCTGCCATTTTTTTCCCCTTTTCCGGCGGGTGCCTTACCTCCCTTGGGCTGGGCCAGCTGGTGGTCGGCCTGCTCTGTCTCTGCCGCTTGCCAGCTATGCCTCGGCCGGCGCAGGGGGCGGAACCACGCATGCGCGGCGCTCCCAGGCAGGGAAAGTCCTCGACTTACGACCGGTTGGGTAGTCCTCGACTTACGACCGGTTTAGTCCTCGACTTACGACTGGTTTAGTCCTCGACTTACGACCAGTTGGGGTCGCGGCATTAAAAAGGTTGAGAACCACTGACATAAATGGATGAAATTGTTAACCCTAACCCACCATGAAGGCTACCTCACCTTTTCCTGTTCCAGTTTTAAGGTGATGTTTCCTGCCTTTGGCCAATACAAATCTAGCTAGTTGGATAATTTGTACGGTAATGCCTTAGAGTAAAGTTAAGAATGAGAACTTGCCCTGCTTTTATTGGCTTCCTAAGACTGCTGCAGGCATGTATATACCCCTCAATTTCTGATTAGTGTTTCCCAGATCCATATATCTTTGGGCAGGTGTGGGGAAAAAAGAAGTAGCTTTTTTTTACCTCTTTACATACCAGCATCCCTAATAAAGTTGCCCCATCCACTCCTAGCACTGCTAGATGCATCAAAAACAGGTAACACCAAGTTCTTATGCTGTCAGTTCTCTGATCCCGGCCAACTGGTCAGACTAGAGTTAGAAGCTAATGTTACTGGATTGTGCAAATGGATCAGTGGCTGAAAATTCATTGGAGCAGACAGCTGATAATATAAGCATCAACATGAATATTAGCATTAAGCTTTGGTTTACAACCTGATATTATATGGGGAAAGATGCATAAAATAATTCTACATGGCAAACAAATACATTTGGATTAAATTTTAAAATACACATTTTAATTTTAAGAGGCCTTTAGAAATGAAGGCAAAGGAAAGGCATATATGAATACATTTGTAATCACCTTATTTATCAAAAAAGTGAATTTTCATATATTTAAACACAAGAACATAGAAAGAAGCGGTTAGCTAATTAGGGCATCCCTGCATTTTTTGACAATTTAATTAGTGGTTGCTGATTGTAGAAAATTTGAGAAATGCTGAGCTAAAGCAAAACTCATTTTATTTGCCCTAGGAATGTAAAACCGGATGCCCCAGGCCACCGGTGCTCCTAAAAACCCTGGTGCAGCCTCCAAAAGTTGCCAGCAATTTGTGTTTTTAGTATAGTAGAAGGAAAATATTATTAAATACATGGGGTATAATGAGTTAAATGACATTTGATTCCATTATTATTTTGGACTAGTTGTATTTTGTGTGGCACATTCATATCATTATCAAGTATTTCAAGAAGAATCTTCCTCAAATAGATATTTTACATTTTAGTTCCAAAAATGTGCAGCTACCTAAGAAAAAGATTTGAAAGCTGGAAATGAGTAGCTCTATCCTGACCATAGCAACTCTTGAATTGTAATTAACTTGAGAGAAAGCAGAGAGAGAGAGAG